GTCTGTAAAACAGAACTCACTCATTCAGCCAGCCAGTAATTACTGAATGCCTGTCATGTGCCGGGCTGTGTTGTAGGCACTAGAATAATCTTTATGTATTGATATGGAAAGATTCTAAGAATCTATTAAGTGAAGAAAAAAACAAGTGCAAAAAAAGTATGCTTCATGTGTAGGGGAAAAAACTTGGCTTATATGAACCTCAAGAAGTTCTGAAAGAATACCCCAGAGACTAAAAGCAATGATTACCTAGATTTGGGGCAAGAAGTGAGAATTGGACAGAACGAGGACTGGAGTGGGAGGAAAACTTCTCACTCTTCTCTTCTTTATACATTATAATTTTTTAATTGTATGTTTTGATTTTTTCAAAAATTAAAATGAGTTTTAAAAAAGTAAACTAAAGATAGGTTTAAAATTTATGAATTTCTTCCAGTAACCTCCAATCATCAGGGACAACTGGTGTGTCAGTTTTGGCCTTTTGCTATTAAACCCCCCCAACATCACTGTCTTTTTTTGTTTTCCCATCCAGTGGCTTGAACGTGTCTGAGAGTCTTTAAAAGATTTGCAGACTGACTGCACCCAGTGAATTCATGTGGGCTGTGTGAGAGAATAACGTGCAATAAACAGAAAGAGGTTTACATTTGAGTTAGATCTTGGAGAACACAGAATGAATGGCTGAGGAATTTCAATTGTATTCAATAGGCAGAAGAAAATCTTTACCTAAAGTCTTCCTGATACTTTAAAGAAATTTTGGAAATTTCATAAAAACAAATCACAACTAAACGTTTTGAAATTGATGACATGTAGGGTTGGATATTTTCCATCAAAATTCACTGTCCAGCACCTAAAAAGTAGCATACCATAGACATCCAAAAATTTTTAAATAAAGAAACCAAAGGCTACACATAAGTGCATTTGTCACAGTACTCTGAATATGAAAATTCAGTTTTGCAGAAAAGGCTACCTCACTGTCAATAATTATAATCAGCTTCTAATATTTTGTTTTGTCTTTTGCTGTTTAAAGTTATATCTGTGAAAACGAGGCTATCCCTATGCCGCCACACTGGGAGAACGTGAATCCTGAAGTACCTTATCAGGTAAGAGCAGAACTGACTGACTGTACTGCGGAAGACATCAGAAAGGACCCCAGTAAAGCTATGCAAACTTATTTTTCCAGCTCATTCCTCTGCACAGTCAAACACATGAATATAATGAAGTTGCTAGTCTCTTTGGTAAAACAATGGATCGCAACCGAATTAAAAGAATTCAGAGAATTCAGAACCTAGACTTGTGGGAGTTCTTCTGCAGGTGAGATGATTTCTAATTTAAACCTGCTCCTTGCCTCTAACACTTTTATAGTCTTAGAGTTAAGCACATATGTATTTTCAGTGGTGTAGACACGCTATGTTTTTCTCCTGCCGTATTTTGACCTGGTCTTTCAGCACTCTTCCGCATTCTCAAGGAGTGGAAGAAAAATGCTCTGTACAGTTTGCTTGCAGAATTATAATGTGAGAAGCTCTCTCCTTTGAAGGTTTACGGCTGTATGTCTTGGCTAAAATGGTCATTACAGGGGAATCTTGGGAGCTATTTAGTTCTGTTGACATGACCTCATTGCCTCAGGCTTTTATTATCAGTTTCTGGAAACCTTGTTGAATTTTCTTTTAACAATTATACTATCTTGCCTGTAGACATTTGTTTGTTTCATTTTAAAGAACACTTTAAAACATACCTTCAAATTTCCCGCTTGCCCGAAGTTTATGTTGTAGATTTAAAATCTCTATTTATTACTAGATTTAGGTTGGAAACAACCCATTAGATTGCTCAGTGTGCACTTAACCTAAAAATAAAGTCCATTACAGAAAACTTAAAAGTA